GTTTCACTCAGCAGTAAATCTTCTATATTTTTCCACTTTCTGTCAAAAGCCAGGGTTTTGTTGTTCTTAATGGCTGAATAGTATTCCATAGAGTATACGTGCCACAGTTTTTCAATCCATTCAGCCGTAAGGGGGCATTTGGGTTGGTTCCATGTCTTAGCAATCATGAAAAGTGCCGCAATAAACATTGATGTGCAAGCACTTTTCCAATGAGAAATTCTTCTGTCCTTTGGGTAGATGCCAAGAAATGAGATTGCTGGATCATATGGCAGTTCTATTTGTAGATTTTTGAGGAATCTCCAAATTGTTCTCCACAGTGGTTGGACTAATTTACATTCCCACCAGCAGTATAAGAGAGTTCCCCTTTCATCACATCCCTGCCAACACTTACCATGCTTTGTTTTTTTAATCTTCACCATTCTGACTGGGGTTAGGTGGTATCTCATTGTTGTTTTGATCTGAATTTCCCTTACAATGAGGGATGTTGAGCATTTTTTCATATGCCTTCTGGCTATTTGAATGTCATCTTTAGTGAGTGTTTTTGTTCAATTCCTTCTCCCATCTTTTAATAGGGTTCATCATCTTTTTTCCAAACAGCTTCTTTAGTTCAATGTTTGAATTCTGACTTTACTACATTATTTTGCTACGTCTTTTGTCTTCTCATCTGTAAAGTTTTAATAGGATTGTTTTGAGGATTAGTGAAATAATACATGTGAAATATTTTTATAGTATTTTAACAAGCGTCCAGTAAATATTAGCAATTACTACTATCATTATTATAGAATGTTTTAGATATTCAGTTGTGAATCTACACTTATAGAAATGTACATGCTGGGGGCTTGTGTGAAGATTTTATCAATTTAAATTGTATTCATATATTCCAGTTCATGTATGCGGGAAGAAGAATGGGTAAGTAAAGGTTTATATTTCTTCATGAAGCTATAGTGTCATTGGAGGAATAAAGCTGCCAGCACATTTTCTAACTCTCTGAGGTTGAATGAGCAAATTGGCTCAGCCAGGAGGAAAACAAACCCATGGCCCTTTAGCATTCGTTAGAATCCCCTAATTCTGTTTCCAAGCTCTTTTGTGAAGACAAGAATTAAAAAAAATGTGGGAAGATTTTTATTTTATTTTATTTTGTCTCGAGTCTCCTTCATTCTTTGCTTAAATGTCAATAAGTCCCAGAAGCTGGAGGTCACCACTGTGTTTCAATAGGAAACCCCATTTTGGGTCACATATTTTTCAATTGTATCAAAATATGTTCTTGGAGTCAAATAAGAAAATTTTGGAGGCTGGGGAACTCTTTTCTTTAAAGCTCTCCCCACTCATTGTTCTTTTCTCGTGTTTTTGATGAATTGCTTTGGCTTACAACCATGCAGACCAGATTATAAAGACCGAAAGTAAATTAAGAAAGGAAAAAACTTAAGTTATTGATTTAGCTTGAGGGAATTTTTCTGAGCTTTCTGACCCAACCCAAGAAACCAACAACCCCAAATCCCAAATGACACACCATGCTTGGAGACGTTCTTCAGCTTTTGGGTCAGTACCAAACTTGCTGAGAACTAGGAGTCTATGCCATCAGGGTTTTATATAGGGATCTCAAATTCTTTGTGGTATTTTATCATTTTATGATTATGAGGGTCTAAAGTTAAGTGCCTTCAGGCTCTCTTCTAAGTCATATTTGGTGAAGGACAAAATGCTCTGCGGTTAATTGAAGAAAGACAGTTGTATTTATTAATTACGGATTCATACTTGCTATGATCTCTCATGGGTCCAGTAGAAGTCTCCTAAATCTTCCCCTTGCTTTCAGTCTTGTTAGAAGAGCTCTTGCATTTACTAACATTTACTAATTAGTCTTAAATAATAAAGCATTATATGCTGGGTACAAGTGTGCATAGCCATAATTCTGGCTGACTGAGACTGAGGGTGTATTGCAACATGAAAACCCTGCTGGGGATGTCCCCTTTTCCCTTCTCTCATGGAAGAAATAAATAAATACACTTTTTTTTTTTGAGAGGTTTTTGCTATAGGGTGTGTATGCTCTCTAGAAAGACAGAGAGAGAGACAGAAAGACAGAAACTGAGAAATCACCCCCCCTCCCCAGGGGGCATGACCATGCCACAATCCCTTCTCCTCCATTCTCCTCTCGGGATCTTGGGCACACACACACACACACACACACACACACACACACACGCCCCGCATGATTTTAAGCCACCGGCTCTGGTTCTTGAACCGTGGTCAACTACATGGGAGTCCAGCGACATAGCCATTATCTTAAATAATAAAGCATTATATGCTGGGTACAAGTGTGCATAGCCATAATTCTGGCTGACTGAGACTGAGGGTGTATTGCAACATGAAAACCCTGCTGGGGATGTCCCCTTTTCCCTTCTCTCATGGAAGAAATAAATAAATACACTTTTTTTTTTTGAGAGGTTTTTGCTATAGGGTGTGTATGCTCTCTAGAAAGACAGAGAGAGAGACAGAAAGACAGAAACTGAGAAATCACCCCCCCTCCCCAGGGGGCATGACCATGCCGCAATCCCTTCTCCTCCATTCTCCTCTCGGGAGCTTGGGCACACACACACACACACACACACACACACACACACACACGCCCGGCATGAATTTAAGCCACCGGGTCTGGGACTTGAACCGCTGTCTACTACATGGGAGTCCAGTGCATAGCCATTACACCAATTGCTAGTCCCAAATAAATATACTTTTAAAATGATGAAAGTGTTACAAATTTTTCATTGACAAACAGATTTTTTAAAAAGCCATAAATAACCTATTTCTCTTGTCTACTGAAAGTTGAAGATGGATAATATATACTTTACTATAATGGCAAAAAGCCCAGTTTAGGAGTTGGGTGTTACCTTTGAGGACCTGGAGAAGAATTAATGGGTACTTGCCAATTTCCACCAAAAATATTCAACAAAGTGCTTCAGAACCATCTTGGGAGATAATATAAGCAAATTTAAACCTGGGTGATTTTCTTTTTTGGTCTATTTGCTATTTTTCCATATTTTTATGAGAACTTTTCTGGTATAAATTTCTTTTCATACATTTCATTATTTAAGGATTACAACACAAGGTAACATCTTTGACTGAGAAATCATAGGTAAGGAGAGGTTATGAGTTAAAATATGCTCAAACAAAAAGTTGTAGAAGGATTTGGGGCCTCTTGCTTTAAGATCCAGGCCTCTTTTTAATGTAAAATCTCTTTCATTAAACTATCATTTTTATGGAGCCTAAAAATCTTGCTAATAGGAGAGTAACATTTTAATTGCAGTTAAAAATTTCCAGCAAGATGGTGATATATCTCTTCCATCTTTTAAATTGTTTCTTTCTATTTGTCTCTCTTTTTAAAATTTGCTATAGATCATATGTGCTTGCTGGAGACAGATAGAGAGAGAAAGAGAAAAAGGGAAAGTGAGAAAGCAATCTCCCCCCACCCCCCGGGGTGGATGATCATGCTGCAATCCCTTCTCTATTCTCCTCTTGGGATTTTGGACATGTATGGTCACATCCACCACCGGTCTGGGACATGAACCACAGTCAGCCATGTGGGATCCATCTATTTTAACCACAGTGTCACTTCATTGGCCCCTTAAATTGTTTCTTAGTGGGCTGAGAACACATTTATGTTTTGGATGCATCTTCTTCCTTCTAAGTGGAAAGACAAGTAAAAGTGGATACAGTTTTCTTAATCTAAACCAGAAGTGACTCTATCAGCTAGAGTCACTATCAGATAGTTATATTTTGGGGGTGAGCTGGAGGGCACAGATTAATTATTCTGAAATTAGGTTATTCTTTTTGGCAAATGTTTTCTAATGTTTATCTAGCTTACAAAATACCACTTCCTAAAATAAATGAGATGTTCTTACTTAGTTATCTTGGACATTGTAACAGGGAGCGCATGGCTGAAAGCTAAGCATTCTATGAATGCTTTATTGATATTTTATTTGGTCAAAGAAGATAGCAAATTATTTTGACTTTTATGCTTTTGAGGGAGTGAAGGCTATTGCCATCATCCTATATGAAGTTGGACTTTGAAGACTTGATTATCTGTTCTGGAGCAGATTCAAAATAACTGTTGAAGAGAATTCTGAGTCTGATGATGGCTATTCCCTTGGATCACTGGAATGCTGAAGGATGGCTTTCTATCCAGGCTTTTTTTTTTTTTTAATTCCTCAGTTGTCACAAAAGGACACCAACACATATCAAATTGATCGTCTATTTTAGGGGTCTTATACTCAGCCAGCAACACAACATAATAGCTTTCCAGGTATTTTCTAGAAACTTTAATCTCAAACTCATAGTCAGATAGTATTTAGCACAGATACAGGTGAGAGAACTAACAAGTAGTATGTTTGCTTGAAGGACATGTAGTGCATTTATTCATCTAAACATCCTAAAATATATTCCTGGATTTAATCATATCAGCGGAGAACAAGTACAGAAACATTATCACTGGCTCCTGTAAATTGTTTTGGGATGCTGTCCCTAGGGTTATTAGAAAGTATATCTCTATAAACATCATTTTTATGTTGTTTATAGCAAATGCTGGCTTCTTTTTATGAAGATTTCTTAGAGAATTAATCCTGAGCCAAGAATTAGTAATACTTGTATTTTTCCTGAGAAACTGGTTTATTACCTAACAGATTGTTCAATAAAGGACAAAAGACAGACATTCCTTTTTTGTGTTGAATTTATGGCCCACCTGGATTAGGCATGCACCTGCAATTTTATTATCATTTTTACTTTAGTTGACCATTGCTTTTACTTCCATGTTGTCTACTCTATTTTACACTTAAAATTTAAATTATTATCTTCCCTGTTGTACATTCTTGAGTAGTTTCGGAGATGACCTTGTATGTAAATAATCTTGCAGGTCTGAGAATGTCCTTATTTCTTCTTTATGCTTGATTATTTGGCTGGGTAAAGAATTCTAAGTTCAAAAACATTTCTCCTTAGAACTGAAAGGTATCACTCCAACGTCTTGTTGCTGATAAGAAATTTCATGGTGGTCTGAATCTCTTATCTTTTTTTTTTTTTTTTGAGAGGTTTTTGCTATAGGGCGCGTGCGCTCGCCAGACAGACAGACACAGACAGAGAGATAGAAAGCGAGAAATCATCCCCCCAGAGGGGATGGCCACACCACAATCCCTTCTCCTCCATTCTCCTCTTGGGATCTTGGGCACACACGCACACGCGCCCGGTGTGAGTTTAAGCCACCGGGTCTGGTACTCGAACCGCAGTCGACTACGTGGGAGTCCAGCGACATAGCCATTACGCTAACTGCTGGTCCCTGAGCTAATCAATTTTGTTTTCTTTTTTTTTTTTTCATTTAAATTTATTTATTTGCATTCATTCACTGTACATCACTACAGCATACAAAATGAGATTTTCCATCTAGGGTACACTGTATATTGTCTCAATCAAGCACATCAACAAACATGTTATTGTCAGCAAATAATTTTCCATTTCTTGTTTCCTGTATGTTGTGCTTTTTTTCCCCCATCCTTGATTCCCTATCTCTTACCCTCTGCCATCTCTCACTCTCCTCCCACATCAATGTTTGCTTTCTTTACTATTTTCCCCCCACATTTCATTGAATTACTAAAGACCTTAATTAATTGAAATATTTTCATAGCAAACACAGCTGATATATACATTTTCATGGACACAAGTCTAACTTTAGGCATCCTATAAAGTAGCACCTATCTTACTGCAGTCTTTGAATAGATATTTTTTTTCTGAAACTTTTTTTTGTAACTTAATTTATATTCTTTCCCTAAGCATCATCACAGCATAAAAAATGTGATTTCCCATCCAGAATATACTGCATCATGACTTAATCATGCATATCATTATAAAAAATTTTCCATTTCGGGAACCAG